GAGGGGTTGTCTGGCCTCCAGCATCCTGCTGCATGGCCCCGCTCCTGTCTCCCTTCCCTCCTTTGTCTCCCTGCTGCCCAGTGCCTTCCCTGCCACACTCCCCTCCGCCGCCTCGCCCATTGTCTTGGGCAGCCACAGGTAGGCCCTCATTGGGCTGTAAGACTGGCCGGAATGCTGCCCCTAAAAATGTGCCGCCCCAAGCACATGCTTGGTTTGCTGGTGCCTAGAGCTGGCCCTGGGCGGGGCCATGCATGCGCCAAGCTCTGGGGGCAGCACTAGGCGGGCACACAGAAATGTCCCAGCGGGCGCCATGGCGCCCACGGGCACCATGCTGGGGACCACTGTTCTACAGTATCTGCAAATTTTGCCGTCTCCCTATTTACCGCCTTTTTATAAATTTAACAATACTGGTCTAAATGTAAATCCCAGCAGCAAAACCCACATTCTCTTCCCACCACCCCATCTTCTAAGTGGAGTACCTGACAATGTTTTTGTGATGATCTAAGGATCCTTCAATTACTTGAATGACCAGTCTTTTGTTATTCTTAATTACTTGCCTCTCTCTTTTTATAACAAAGTCTCCGCCCCAATGGCAAAATTGCAAGCACGTTAAACTGTTGCATTAAAGAACTGCCTGTGGAGCCAGGGCATGCTGCTTTAAGTAGCCCTCAAGTATAAACTCCAGGGCTACGTCTACACTGGCATGATTTTCCGAAAATGCTTTTAATGGAAAAGTTTTCCATTAAAAGCATTTTCGGAAAAGCACGTCTAGATTGGCAGGATGCTTTTCCGCAAAAGCACTTTTTGCAGAAAAGCGTCCGTGCCAATCTAGACGCGGTTTTCCGCAAAAAAGCCCCGATCGCCATTTTCGCGATCAGAGCTTTTTTGCGGAAAACAGTACTGTGCTGTCTACATTGGCCCTTTTGCGCAAAAGTCGGAAAAAGACTTTTGCCCGAACAGGAGCAGCATAGTATTTCCGGAAAAGCACTGACAATCTTACATGAGATCGTCAGTGCTTCTTCTGGAAATTCAAGCGGCCAGTGTAGACAGCTGGCAAGTTTTTCCGCAAAAGCAGATGATTTTGCAGAAAAACTTGTCAGTCTAGACACAGCCCAGGGGTTCAAACTTCGGGGGGGCTACTAAATGGCACCCTTGTTCCATACCACCTGATGACCAGCGTCTGGTGGCTCTACATGTGCATATGTGGTGCAGCAGTGGTAGAGGGGAAGTGATCAGGGTTTGGGGAAGGGTTTAATGCTGGCACTGGCAAGAGCCTGGTACTTATGTGGAGGGCCTGAAGGAAGTCTATTGCCTGGGGGTGCAGCAGACAGAGACTTTATGGAGAGCGGATGCGTGTGACACATAGGGGAATGGAGGAGGGCGTAGAGCTGGGGGCTGTGTTTGGGATTGGAGGGGTGAGAAAGTGGGGTCTGGCGTGGAAGGACGCAGCGGGGAGACTAGGGCCATATAGAGGCTGGGACTACAAAGCTGGAGCACAAGGCTGCGGACTATATAGAGCTGAGGCAGAAGGGCGGGGCGGGGGGGGCACGGGCTGATGCGCGTGGAGCGGAGGGACTGAAGACGCCAGGGTCGTGGGGCCCAACTGGCAGGAGCTAGATGCGCGCTCTTACTGGAAGAACGGGCTCTAGCGAGGGGCCGGGCAACAATGGGAATGCCCCGGGAACGGGCGGTATCTTCCGCAGCTCGCGCAACCGCGTTTCAACAAAAACTGACTCCTCGGCAGTGCCGGGGCTGATGCGCGTGGAGCGGAGGGACTGAAGACGCCAGGGTCGTGGGGCCCAACTGGCAGGAGCTAGATGCGCGCTCTTACTGGAAGAACGGGCTCTAGCGAGGGGCCGGGCAACAATGGGAATGCCCCGGGAACGGGCGGTATCTTCCGCAGCTCGCGCAACCGCGTTTCAACAAAAACTGACTCCTCGGCAGTGCCGTCCCTTCCGGTAACATGGCGGCCTCCAGGAGGCAGCGGAAGCTGCTGGCGGAGCCGGCGCTGGGGAGCCCGATACAGGGGCACGTGACCCGTCGCAGCCGGCCGGCAGCATGTCAGCGCCGCCCGGGGAAGGCGGGGAGTTGCGGGGCCGGAGCCTGCAAGAGCTGCGGGAGATGCTGAGGCGCCAGGAGAGGCTGCTGGCCGCTCGGTGAGCGAGGGGTGGGGGCCGGGGGAGCGAGACCCTGGGAGAGCGCCCCCGGGCTGGGCTCAGCCTGTCCCTGCCCGCCCGCGCGGCGGAGGGAGGTATCCGGCGTCACTGCTGCCCCCGCGCACCTTGCGGCCCCCACCCAATGCCGCGCTGTTATCCCCGTCTACGCCCCCCCCCCCGACGAGCTGTCTGCTTCCTGCCCTCAGCCACCGCCAGCATCCCCAGCGCTCTGTTGTCATCGTCCACGCTTCACAGCGCTGCCTGTCTCCTACCCTCGCCACCCCCCCCCCCTCCTCTCACTGCTACCCCAGTGCCAAGACAGTGCTGTCATTTCCGATGCCAGTCATGCAGACACACAGCTGTCCTGCCTCCTGCTCCTCTTCTCCCGCCCCCTTTCCCAGTCACAACCTTCTACAGTTTACACCAGGTACGTGTCACTTTGGATGGTTGATATCATGGTGACAGGAGCTGAGTCATTGTGAGAGGGTTAACAACCAAGTCACTGATCTGACTCAGTGGGCAGAACAGGCCCAACAGCTTATCGAAGGGGCTGCCTCACAGTGTTTTTGTGACGCAGAGTGCAGTGACAGGGAGCAGAAGGATTTGGTAGTCCAAGCAGTACAGGATCAGTCAATCAGAATTCAGTGCCAGAAGGGATGGCCCAGTCACAGGTCACCAACATCATCCAGTGCCCACATGCTAAACCCAATGACCAAAGTATTACTGTCCACGGGAAGCTATGTTGTTAGGTGGTACAGGCAGAAAATAGGAGGGACTGAGGTGCAGCAATGTTCAAAGACCTTGCATTGGCAGGGGAATGATAGGTAGACCCCGATAATCCTGGCAAGTAACCTGTTCCCACACACTGTATGAAGGTGAAAAAAATTGTCACTACCCATTTGACCTGGGGGAAAGTTTCTTTCTGAACCAACAGATGGTGTTCACATGTGCAGCTCCTCACATTAGTAAAACCACCTCTCATGTTTACAGGGTCAGGACTTTAATGATTTACAATTATGACATATGTCACCTACAGAAATAAGTTCAGTCTTTAAAGAGGCTTTCTAGTCTTATTTTAATAAAAAGACTGTGTGTGAGAGAGACAGTTAATGAATAAATACTGAAATGGGGAGGGAAACAATTTATGGGGGTGGGAATGTAAGAAGGTGTTGCCTAAAACTTAGACTTTATCTTTGTTGTAAAAGATGTGTCTTGCTTCACATCAATATAGCTAGTTTGACGCAAAATTGTAGTGGAGACAAGACACAAATAATTTTAGACCTCAGCTAGTTGAAGTAATCCCCAGTTAGCGGAGCTATGCTTGATCACAACAAGGTACACTGAGGTAAAACACCAATGCCTGCCACCCTCTAAAATTTACAGTGAAATAGCTAACTTAGTTATAGAGACACATTTCTTTCAGTGAAGATAGGCGAAAAAGTGAGAGAGGAAGAACTTGAACACGCATGCATCCTGCACAAATGTGCAATTTTAACCTTATTCTTTGAGACCAGTACACTAAAATCTTTTGCTATGTTGGTCAGAGCATTGTTTTTTTTCCCCTTGTTTTTGTTAGGTTTTATGTGATATTTCTATACCAGTAAAATTCCTTGTGAAGATATAGAAGTGCTTTTGCTCATATGGCTTTTGCTCATATGGCATATAAATAATAGTGGCAAAAACAGATTTTTGCCATTGCAAGTTGTGTATACACTAGGAGGGTTTGTTGGTGTAGCTTTACCAGCAAATCTATTCTAGTGTCAACTCTGCATAATAAGGATGTGAATGTTTAACCAGCAAACTGGTAAGCCTCACACTTAACAGGAGGGCCTACCGCTGACAGGGCTGCTCCGGCCTGTAAGATGCAGCCCCTGTCTGTGGTGGGGGCAGGAGGCTGCTCCAGACCAGCAGTGGATGGGCCAACCCCAACCTCACACACCTCATCCCTTAACAAGTTAACTGGTTAAAAGATGTTTAACTGTTTAAACAATTAAATGGGATTTTACATCCCTAATGCCTAAAAGTACTACATACTGATACTTTACTTGTAGTATTTTCCATAAAATCAGTAAAACTTCCTTAGATGCAATTTACTGATTGTGAATTCTACTCAGTTGTGTCAGAATTGCATCTATTTCTAGGTTGAAAACTTCTCTGATTAATTTGCTACAGATAGCTTTGGTAGCATAATAGAGTTGTGAAGACTATTCACAACAAAAGTCTTAGGGGTAGCTGCATTAGTCTGTAACTAAAAAAAAACGTTAAAAACAATAATGGTCCTGTAGCATCTTAGAGACTAACGAACTATATATTTTTGTAAGTCTCTAAAATGCAACAGGACCATTGTTATTCCCAATAAGACTGTCAAGACAAGTTTAAAGAAGTATACTCCAGTTCTACATAATGATCATAGTTCCAAGTCAGTTGATAAATATCTTCAATAATCATAGCACAGTTCACATCAATCTTGTATTTTCCCCTCCCAGTTCTGTGTTCTTTAAATGAAATCACTGAAAATATTTGCCGTGCCATTATTTCAGCTCAAAATAATCTTTACTGGTTTAGCAAAATGATTACTTTTTTTCTGATGGAGTCATTAATTTATAAAACTACAAATGTCATGCATTAATGCAGATTTTAGAATCCTATATTTTCAGAATGTCTTACACATAATGTTTTAGTATTTTCATGAAACTATTAACTTTAACTATTTGGTATTACATATGTGAATATCAGAACTAAAGCCAAAGGTCTGTCATGTAACTCTTTCTTTCTTATTTTAGGACGTTTATTTGTAGACTTCCAGATAAAGGTAAAAAGATCGCCGATTTTGTTGAAAAGCTGAAGCTTGCCATAGCAGAAGAAGAAGAATTAAGGAGGACAACTGAACTGTTGTCTGTTGTTAGACTGGAGTTTCAGGCAAAACAAGAGGAGATTAATACAAACAACCAAAGAGTACCCCTGAGTGAGGACAAATCAACAAATAAAGTTTTATCTATTTATGAAAACTCTGCTACTAATATAAATGTTTACTCTGCTACAAAAACTTCTAACACTGTTTTGCAAGACAAGGAAGCTGAATGTACCAAGAAAAGACACACACATAAGGCTTCTGCAAAGGGCCATAAAAAACATGATCAATCAGAGAGTATGATACAAGACCATGCAAAAACTCATGAAAGTGAATCCAGTTTACTTTCATCCACAACCAGCCTGATGAAAATTGATCAACCGATACCTAAGTATAATTCTCTGGGTGAAGCAGAAAGTGCTGAGGATGATTCAGGCAACAGTGATGACATGCTGGTTGAAGCCTTCAAAAGAGTTGCAGTTGGAGATGAGAATAACAGCAAAGGAAAGTCAGAAAAAGAACAGAACACTCCTAAATTTAAGGATAATCCCTTTGAAAGCCTTTCCACCATGACACCAAAAAAGCCGCATTATATTGAAGTTCTAGAATCAAGAGCTAAGAACCCAAGAGCTAAAAATAAATTTAAAACAAATGCGTAAGTATTGTAGAATATAGATGCTTCTATCCATTGCTGTTTTATGGACACAAAATAAGCAGAGAAACTGAACTAGAAGTATAGCTTCTGGTAGAGATTATTTTCCCAGAAAGAATATTTGCTAAGGGTTGGTGATATGATAGAGTTTTGTACTTTTACGAGGCACTACACTAGAAACAATTGATATGTATGATGGAGCATCATCACAACCCCTTCATGTAATTGAAAAGATGAACCTATTGTAGCTGCAGATCACAACAAAATATATTTAAAGTATTAAAAGATTACAAGCTGCTTGAAATAACTAGTTCATTTCCCCCCATGCCTCCATTGATTAAAAATCTTAAATATTCACAAAAGAAGGCAGGAAGGTGTCACTGCAAGTGTTTGGGTAGCATGTGATCCAAATTGCTCTTTTATGGTTAGTGTTGGAAACCTGTGTGTAGAGAGTGGTTCTACTTAAATAGGGCATGATCCTTCAATGTGCTTAGGGTTGCCAGGTATCCGGTTTTGAACCGGACAGTCCCATATTTGAGCTCTCTGTCTGGGAAACAAATTGAGAAAATACCCGACATATAAATGTCTGGTATTTTCTAATTAAGTAACTTTTATTGTTATCATTTATTGTTATCACGAGTATTGGTACGTAGCTGCATACTGCGTACTGCCTGGCTGATAGACATGCTCACGCAGCTACACAGTAGAGAGGAGGGGGGCAGGGCTGGGGCATGATGGAATCCCTGGGGCTGGACTCGCCCGTGCGCCCCGCCAGGACTGTGCATGAGACGGGCAGCAACCTGGGATCTGCATGCCCCCGGGCCAGCCCCGCTCCCCGCCGGCTGGTTCCCCCTGGACAGTCCTGCTTCCCCCCCAATCCCCTTTTGGCCAGCCCTGCTTCCCACTGGCTGGTTCCTTTCCTTGATTTCCCCCAGCCAGCCCCGCTCCTCCCGACCCCCTCCCGGCCAGCCCTGCTCCCCGCCGGTCAGTCCTCCAATCTCCCCATGCCAGCCCCGCTCCCCCCAACCTACCCCCGGCCATCCCTGCTTCCTGCCAGCTGGTTCCCCCCAGCCAGCCTCGCTCCCCCCAAACCCCTCCTGGCCAGCCCTGCTTCCTGCAGGCTAGTTCCCTCCAGCCAGCTCCACTCCCCCCCAACCCCCTCCTGGCCAGCCGTGCTTCCCTCCTCCCCCCCGTTCTGAGATCATGTGTGTCCAGTATTTTTTTGAAAGCCATCTGGTAACCCTAAATGTGCTTGAGGATTTTCTCTGAGAAAATGAATGTCTCCATTCCCAGAGAGGTTAATTGAAGTAGGTAGTCCATGAATTTTTCCTCCTTGGTAAAATGTCCTTCCTATTTTTTTTTTTTTTTTTTTTTCCCTTAGAAATTAATTACCTTTGCACATGAAAAAGCACTATGAAAATTCTGTTTATTTTCACTTGTGGTACGCACATGAAAAAGCACTATGAAAATTCTGTTTATTTTCACTTATGTGATATATTAAAATGTGACCTGATTTATACTTTCTGTATTAGTCTTTCTATATCCGTTTTTAATTGTAAAAATAGTCATTTCTGTGTATTACATTCACATGGCAATATGGGTTGCAACTTTACATTTGATCCCTTTTAGATTGCCAGCTGAGTGGAGTGGGTCATCGCATGGTTCCTCACCTAGTCATTCACCTAGGAGACCTGGGTCTTCAATTTCTAAGAAAGAAAGCCGTATTAGAGATAAGAAACATCTGGATGACATCACAGCAGCGCGGCTGCCACCATTTCATTATGCACCTGCTCAGTTGTTATCCATAGAAGAATCAATAGCAATTCAGACACGGCAAAAAGAAATTTATGAGGTATAAATCAGTATTACTGTTTGATCTGGAAAACGTATTGTATATCTGGGACCATTTTAGAAAGCCACAGTATAAAAACTAAACATGTTAGTTGAGATTTCCAGTCTCTTTATGAGATCAGATTAATATTTCTATTTGATTTGTGAGTGGTGTTTTCAAATAAATTCTTTAGATAAGTTTCTCAAGCAGAGAATAAAATTTAGCATTATTCTTTGCATTTAGTAATGATCAGTTCATTGTTGTGCCCCTTGTCACCTCTGTGCTTTGCACTCAAAAGGTATGTTCTTTTAACAAGCATACTAGTTACTACTATATGCTGGATGTCCCTTTCATGCTAATGAAGGCAAAAGAAGTATCCAATGTTATGTTTTTGAAATGTATGCAAATAATTACAGTTATTTTTCTTCACACTGTGACTGGTAATAACCAAGTTTTTTGTAGTTGTCAGATGTTAAAGAAGTTTCATTTTGAACAGAGCTCTCTTGTGGCACTGGATTTTGGCATTGAATTCCATGTGATGACACACTAGTAATGTTTAAAACTGGACAAGTTATAAAAACTTGTTGATGTTGGGCTGTTTAATTTTAGTGTGGTGCTGCTCAGTATTTTACAAGCACTTCCTAATTCAGGATGGGAAATCAGGAATGGTAGATGAGCTGCCTGAGTGGCCCTCCTCCACCTTAGTGGACCACAGCAGCCTGAGGCCCATTCAAGTTTCATCTGTGGCCCCATGACCCCTCGTGCACCTTGGCACATGAGCCCCGCATTTACCTGCTCTCCTCCTCCCTCTCAGCATTTTTGGAGCACATAAATCACCTGATTCATGCTGTGTCCCTGCTCCTCTCCCTCCCTGTAAGAGCTGGAAAGTTGCAAACAGCTGATTCATGTTGTTCCAGCTCTGGGAGGGAGGGGGAAGATTGGGAACAAAGTATGGAGTATGAATAAGGCAATTCACGGCTCCTCTAAAAGTGATGGCAGGGAGGGAGGGACGGAGGAGATGTGGGGCTCTGGTGCCCCAATGTGCAAGAGGAACATGGGGGAGGGGAGCAGTCAGGGGGTCTGCAGGCTACAGGTGGAGCCCCCTGGGCCACATGCGGGCCGCAGGCTGCCCAATGCTGTGCTAATTAATCTCAGCATTCCTGAGAGTAAGGTAAATGTTATTTCTCCTTTTTATAGAGGGGGAAGCTGTAACTGGAGAAATTACAGGAGTTGACAAAGGCTATAATCTTTGTCAGACTGGATTTGGAGCATAGGAGTTTTGTTTCTCAGTCATGTGATGACTCTGATGAGCAAGATCTAGCCTAGGTAGAGATGTGGCCTAAGTGAAAGAAGGTGGCCTATAAGTACTGCAACATGAAGAAGCTGCTGCTCTAGCAGTAAAATGAAAGAACTTATAAATGTAAGGAAATGTCTTCCTGTTTCTAGGAGATACCATGAATTGCTGGGACGAGACTGTTAATATGAACATGCAAGTTACTCTGTAATGTTTCCATTTTTCAGCTAGTAGATTTTTGACTTCCAGAATGAAATAGCACATTCTAGTTTAACTTCTCTCTCTTTCCTGTGTGTGTTTTGTTTTTAGGAAATGCAAGCCAAACTCGCCGCGCACAAACTAGCAGAAACTTTGAATATTAAAATGGTCAGATATGAACCTGAGGGAGAAGCCTCGATGAAATACAGAGAAATGGGGGACGAGGAAAACTACCATTCACTGGAAGACTGAGCTCAGAAAGGAAAATATCAGTCAATAGACAATGCAGCTGATGTCTTGAACTATCCTTTTAAAAATAACTAGGATTCAATAATCAGGGTTCTTGGCCTTGTAGAGTGCTGGTTTTGGTAGTGGAGATGTGGCATTGCAATTCTTGGAAGGGATTAATACTTCAAGTACAAATGATGTTGTTTGGGGCCTGATTTTCATAGGCAGAGAAAGTTCTCAGTGCCTCAAAAATTGCTCATTGGGCTTTATATACCTCTATATACAGCTAAGGGCTGTTCAACATACTGTAGTAAGCAGTGGCAGAGTCTACAAGAAGATGGTATAGTTGGAGGACAAAACATAAAAGAAATATATTTTTCCACCTGAAAACCTATAGTGAATAAGCAAGAACTCCAGAACATTTTCTGTCCAGTTATGGTGATGCTTGTTAAGCAAATCTAGAGATCTAATTAATTTGAAGACTATTTTTTTTCTTGGTGTTTTGTTTTCCTGTATTATTTTTGTACATTGATTAAACTTTTGAAATACTATTGTCTGTTGAAACTAATAGAACAGATCCTTTCTCTAGTTTCAGAAGTCCTGGGTATTTTTCAGTAAGGTAAATGAGCCAACCATTGATCAAATATCTCTTAAACACAGTAACATTGTCTATGTTTCAACTGAAGATTGAAGGTGGAGAGCACCAGCGAAAAGCTTTTCTTAATTGCAAAGAAATACAGCTCAGATAAAACATAATAGAAAATTCTTTATTTTCCTTGCTAACATCATGATTCTGATATTCCTGTGCAGCACAAGGAATGCACTTCCCTGCTGCTGACTTAGCTATTGGCGATAGCATTAGCTGTTGTAAGCAAACTCGAGCCACGGCAGGTAAAAAAGACTTTTGTTCATTTGCTGGCATTAATTATACTATGGTGTCAGTCATTTAAAGCAGACTACATTTGGAAACTTAAGGGTCTTTTGATAAGTGCAATAAAAACACTATGTGCAAATCATACCAACTACCCATTTTGTGTACAGATGAACATTTTTGAAGCCTCAAGCCTTGTGTCTCTTAAATATCTGGACATCAGATTTCTTTCTAGCTTCCAAATATAAATAATAAGCTAAATCCTAGCAAGGAAGATTATTTCTCAAAGGATAATTCTGAAATGGTGTTGCCGTATTAGGGGAAAAAGAGAAAAGGGCCTTGGCTTGCAGGATATAATGAAAATAGTTGTTCTGTATATTTTGGAATAATGAAATATCTGATTATATCTAAAACTTTCATAGCATGCCATAACATCCACACTGCTAGTTTTGGTCCACTTGCTTGAGCTAAGCTAGCACAGGTCTCTATCAGCAATGGGAATCACACTGCACAGTTGCATGCAGACATAGTCAGAGGGGCCTGGCCTGTGTCTAGCTTCTTGCCCTAAATCAAGGTATTGCCTTAATGAGGGTGCTGGGTTTCTTTTCTAACTTTCTGCTACTTGCCACTATCTCTCTTTTGAATAGCATTGCTTCTGACTCTTCCCTCTCCACTCTGTGTTGCTGTCATCTATCTTTCACCCAATTCCTCTTCAGCTTTCTGATTTAATTTTACTCCTGTTATCTCTATGTAGTGACTTCAGCTTCCAAGTTGATGACTCATCTGACATCTCAGCTGGCAGTTTCTTCACCTTCATGTCTTTAGTGTACTGGACAGCCCTGGTTAAATTATCTCGCTCACCAAAAAAGCTGTTGACTTGCCTAGGTCTTCTACTAGCAGTGCTTTTGCTTTGATCTCTCTATTGTTGATTCACACTCCTCTCTACCCATGACTATCATCTGGTCTCAGCATCACCCATCAGCTCCCCCATCATGCCCTCTGTCTTGGCCTTTCTGTGATATCCAGTCCATCAGCTTTAATGACTTCTTGTCTGCTCTCAGCCCTTTCCTCCATGCCCTCTCATCCCTTTCTTTTGTTGATGTGGATGATTCTCTCCATGTTTCACTCTTCTCCACCTTTGACTCTCTTGTTCCTCTGTCTCCTATCACAAGGTCTTCTGGCAACTCCTAGCCTGGCTTACCTCAACAGCCACTTCCTCAGCTCCTGCTCTTGTGTTGGGGTGTGTGGCTGGCTAAAACCCCATGACCAGCCTTTCTTCCCTGCAGATTCCTTCTTTGAGTCTGAGCGGCCAGATGTAGAATGGTCACTTGTGAAAGTGTTGAACCATAACACAATTGCTCTACATCTGTTCTCATCCTCAAAGGAAACCTGCTCTACACCTTCAAATAGCAAGTCTAGGATCTTAAATGGGTAACTTCACTAGTTACCAACAATCATGGACTGAACAGAAGCACTGGATTTTTGGCTTGTTACAACAGTTTAATAATCTGTTCCCCCTTATGTTCAGCTGTGACACTGAGCGCATTTCCCAGCCCTGAAAAAGGGCTCTGTATAAGATCAAAAGCTTGTGACTCCCACCAACAGAAGTTGGTTCAATAAAAGACACTTTGTCCCAAAAAGTCAAGGTGGGTTAGGTAAATCTACCAGGAGAACTGAAATACCAGTACATGGTAAGAGTTGTTTCTTGCTATGAGAAGTTAAGGAATTTGTATAAAGCAATAGCTCTCCAGCTTACTTTTTAAATTTGATGGTATTGACTAGGTCCTCACTAAGTGTAAATCAGAGCAATACATCTTCACTAAGGTCACTGAAGTCCATAGTGTTTAATTTAGATATTTGTATTTCTTCACTGTGTGTGTATGCAGATGGCAATAATATAGTTACTAGACCAAGGTGTCCAATATAATGGTGTATTTGAAACAGGCTTAAATAGTTGCAATTCACAGACAAGCTTTAATCTAAAGATGAACACTTTAGATTGCTTTGGAGGATAGGGTCATAATTCAAAATGATCTGGACAAATTGGAGAAATGGTCTGAGGTAAACAGGATGAAGTTTAATAAAGACAAATGCAAAGTGCTCCACTTAGGAAGGAACAATCAGTTTCACACTCCTAGGAAGGAGTACGGCAGAAAGGGATCTAGGGGTCATAGTGGACCACAAGCTGAATATGAGTCAGCAGTGTGATGCTGTTGCAAAAAAAGCAAACATGATTCTGGGATTCATTAACAGGTGTGTTGTGAGCAAGACACAAGAAGTCATTCTTGCTATGGGAAGAATGGTTAGGCCTCAGTTGGAGTATTGTGTCCAGTTCTGGGCACCACATTTCAAGAAGGATGTGGAGAAATTGGAGAGGGTCCAGAGAAGAGCAACAAGAATGATTAAAGGTCTAGAGAACATGACCTGTGAAGGAAGGCTGAAAGAACTGGGTTTGTTTAGTTTAGAAAAGAGAAGACTGAGGGGGGGACATGATAGCTGTTTTCAGGTATCTAAATGGGTGTCATGAGGAGGGAGAAAACTTGTTCATCTTGGATAGAACAAGAAGCAATGGACTTAAGCGGCAGCAAGGGAGGGTTAGGTTGGACATTAGGAAAAAGTTCCTAACTGTCAGGGTAGTCAAACACTGGAATAAATTGCCCAAGGAGGTTGTGGAATCCCCATCTCTGGAGATATTTAAGAGTAGGTTAGATAAATGTCTATCAGGGATGGTTTAGACAGTATTTGGTCCTGGCAGGGGACTGGACTCAATGACCTCTCAAGGTACCTTTCAATCCTAGTATTCTATGATAAGACACTTTGTATACTTTTGCTGGCACTCTTGCTCTCTCTTCATAGAAAGATTTGTTTCTACTTTTATTTTGCTGTCTAGCATAAAAATGTGTTCTAAAAGAAATCTTCGTGGAGGTGATGTTGTACCCTTTACTTAAGACTGCCCAATAGTGATAGGATTAGACTAGTGCTAGTTACAAAATACAGGTTGGATCTCCCTGGTCCGGCAACATCGGGACCTGATTGGTCCCAAATGAGAGAATTTTCCAGATGAGGGGAGGTGTCCCCTGCCACTGACCCCAGCCAGCCAGCACCCTGCCTCGGGGCCCCTCTACCTCCTCCCCAGCTGGGGAGTCTACCCTGCTGCTGCTGGCCCTATGCTGCCATGGGTTTCTGGGGTTCTCTGGCCTCATGCTGCTGCTGGCTTTCAGAATTCTCCAGCCCCCAGCTCCGCGCTGCTGCGGGCAGTCAGGCTTCTTCGGCCCTTAGCCCCGCACTGTCGTGGACTACTGGGATTCTCTGGCCTCTCCTACTGTTAGATTCCCGGGTTCTCTGGTCCAGGAGCATTCATGGTCCTGCCAGATCATGGATGTTGTCGAACCAGAGAGTACTGGTTTTCAGAGGTTCAGTCTGTAATATCTGCTACACCAATATTTGAACTTCAGATCTACTGTCTCCTCCCATTGCTACATTACATCCCAGGGCCTATCTAGTCTGTGACACAAGTTCAAATTCTATGGCAGGAAATACACAATCCCATGGCAATGTTACTTGGATTTATGATTTTGGTGATTTTTTTTTTTCATAATACATTGCTGAGTCCTCCCTGAAAGTGCAGTGTGAAAGGCCTGAGTAAGGGAGAGCTATGCCTGCTAAAGCTTGATGTTCAGAGTCCCTGTACAGACAGCATGCATCTGCTGGGGAAGTATGTCAGCTGCATAAAGCTCTGTTCTTCAGGACTGGCGGCAAAACTACAAAAGACCGGCAACAGCCAGGGGCACCGTGGCAGCCGTGGAAAGCTCTAGTACAGAGCTACTCAATACGTGGCCCATTTATTTGCGGCCTACGGCGTGGTTTGGGTTTACGTGGGGTTCAACACGTGGCCCGGGGGTGGGAGCCCAAACAAAAAAGTAAATATAATGGTCTTCTGTTGATATGCTTTTTAGTAATCAAATTCCTGGACTGTCATTGCTTATTAAAAGTGTTGACATACGGGTGGATATTGGGTAAATATTGCATTTTATTAATATCAGCTGAACTGACTTAAATGGGGTCTGCATGTTGTGTTGTCTTGCCTTAATCTTTGTATTCATGGCTGTCGGTGTGAAAGAAGCTATTTTCATGTATTTGCGTATATATTTACATGTGTATGCAACCACACTTAAGTTGCAGCCCTTGGTATGTGCTGTGAGTATCATTGTGGCCCCTGGGGCTTCCAAAGTTGAGTAGCCCTGTTGTAGTACCTCCTCTGTTATGAGATGAGAGAGACAGACTGAGGGGCCAGATGACAACTGATACTTTATTTATGATATTTTTTCCTAAAACGTCAGTGATATTTTATCCCTGACCCTGGCCTGCAATTGTTACTTGTTTTGGATTGTAAATTCCTGGTCATACGGACTGGGATATAATTTTTGAAAGTGCTGAAGTGATTTGGGATCCTAATTTGGGTTGATCTTGGACACTAAAGTCACTTTGCCACTTTTGAAACTTTTACTGTGTGTCTTCATGTATTTGTACAGCACCTAGTACAATAAGATTCTGATCCTGATTGGAGCCCCTGAATGCTCCCAAGATACAAGTATCAACTGATGCAAAAATGTTTGAAAAACAATCCTATATCAGTGTTACTTTTTATTTGAATCAATATATTTTGAACTAGGGATGTGAATGGTTAACTGGTGCCTGGTGATGCTTATCAGGTAATGGCTAACCAGTGCCCAGTTAACTGATTACATGGGATTTTCCATCCCTACTTTGGGCTTGATGATATTTCCTTGCCAACATAATTGTTTTTAAAAAATTGTAATACACTTTTCTTAACTAACATTGGCCAAAGAAGCCAGCTGATCTCCAAGGGGAAAAAGAGCATAAATGAGCTTTCCAAGAAAGCTGTTAGCCTGCAAGTTAGTGATATTATTCATATTTGCATTTGTGTTTAGGAAAGGCTTCATGACTGTGCGCAAGATGAATGTGGCCACTTTCAAATCTCAGAATAGGAATGCTCTGTTGCCTCCTGGTTGCTATGAAAGTTCTATAGCTTCTTAAATGTCTCAGGAGAGCTTCTTGATGCAGTTGTTTTCTGGAGTTAAAGATCCACCAGATCCATTCCTAATTATGTGTGAAATGCCTCTGTCTTCAGCT